TCCATACATTATTCATTAGGGCAAGAGCTTCTTCTTCTATCATTTCTCCAGAATTTTTAAATAATTGATATCCCAGTCCATCCCTCCCTGGTGAGGTATCTTTCCCCTGATTTATAGCTTTTTTTAAACTCTTCCATTGAGAAAAACACATTAATACCATCAGAATTGTCACAATTTATTTGTAATTTAGTCATATTATTTCTTGTTATTTGACATCTCCTTCTACTGTTTACTTCGCTTACATTGTTGGAACTATGAACGTTTTGAAATTGCTTGACCAACAAATTTGCTTTTTCTTTATTATTTACAGCTTCATCACAGTGGAGGACTGGGATTGCTGTCTGCCTAAAAACTCCTGTCATTCTCTGTACTAGATTCCAAATCTTTTTTAAAGGTGTATCCTAATTTACTACAGAAATTCCTTCAACTTTGTTTCTTTGCTTCCTTAACTACACGTCTTGCCTTAGGTCTAAGCCTCTTATGTTCAAAAGCATAGTTCTACAATAAGTGTTGCCTTAAGTTTTTATATGCCCTATTCCTAGCTCGGACTGCAGCATTACATTCTTGAGTCTACCATGGTACCATTGATCCTCATACTGGCACTTTTTTCTTTGGAATATTCTTAACTGCAGCTGACCACATTACTTTGCTTAGAGAACTATTCCACTCATCTATTCCTTTTTCACTATCTATTCTTGTTAATCCTATATTTACTTGATCCTCAAACTTTATCCAATTAGGTCTTTTATAATTAAGCCTCAGGGGCCAATTAACTGGCTCCTCGATTAGACACCTACCAGATTTACAAATTATTGGCACATGATCACTTCCCACTGTATAAAGATCCATTGTTTTCCACCTACTGATTGATGCTAAATCTGCTGACTCAATTGTAATATCTATGACAGATGACATTGATCGACTTGTACTAAACCAAGTAGGACAACCATCATTTAACACAACTAGATTATTCTTGTCCATAAAATCTTCTATAATTTGACCATTTCTGTCTCTCTTCTTACTTCCCCACAATTCATTATGAGCATTATAATCCCCCTGGTGAACAACCTGTAGTGTTTGAGAGCGATGTGCTCATGTGTGTTTCTCTGTCTGCAGAATCAGGACCTGATGTGGCCCATTCTGCGTCCAGACCTGCCAAACTGCTGCGTTTATATAATGTGTTAATAATTCTTTGTTCCTCTCTCTGTGCTGGAGTTCTTTAAGAACTTGGTGGCTTGATCCAGATTATTATTAAATTGGTTGAATTTTAATAAGAGTGTGTTTATTCATATAGTGTATCAAGCTTATTACTTCAATATATTTACTGCAAATCTGATATTAATATTTTACTCATGATAGGGACTTAGGCTACTGTATGAATGAGCACTTCAGAGATAATGCAGGCTCTAGCCTGCTAGAGCCAAAAGAATTTAGTATTGTGGTCTTTGGAAATTCATGGATTTCCTGTACCCGATTTGTGATCCAAATTAAAAACGCACCCCTTTTGGAACAGAAATCCACCTTATCATTTGAAAAAACCCTTATGACAGTTCTCTGCCAAGAAGCTAATAGTGACACTGTGTCAATTTGACAATTCCCTGGTTTGGGAGAAACACAGATATAAAATCATAACCACAACCCATTACAAAAATGTGGAAAAAAACAATCTTGAGTCAGGATGAAAACAGGAATGCTTAAATGTGCATTTGCTGAATCAATCACAGAAAATCAACATGGGCTGTTAGACCCCATGACATTAGCTTTACCACATAAGGTAATTTATTTATTCCCTTAGATCTTGAAAAACTTACCACCCACCTTGTCTCTACAGGCAGAATGGAGGAGTTGCATGGTATCAGAAGAACATTTCACAACTGGCATTTTCATTTCTTTTTTTCCCCCTAAAAAATAAATGTGTGTAAAATATCTGTGTCTACATGTAAATAGGTTTGATGGCTGTTTCAAAATGTGACAGGAATGAAAACTATATGTTCTAGGAGCATTATGGAGCACTTTAGATTTGATCAATGAGCCTTCTGCTCCTGAAATCAGACTAGGGTCTTTACAGTGGGTACGGAAAGTGTTCAGACCCCTTTAAATTTTTCACTCTTTGTTTCATTGCAGCCATTTTCCAAAAATCAAAAAAGTTCATTTTATTTCTCAGTAATGTACACTCAGCACCCCATCTTGACAGAAAAAAACAGAAATGTAGAAATTTTTGCAAATTTATTAAAAAAGAAAAACTGAAATATCACATGGTCATAAGTATTCAGACCCTTTGCCGTGACACTCATATTTAAGTCAGGTGCTGTCTATTTCTTCTGATCATCCTTGAGATGGTTCTACACCTTCATTTGAGTCCAGCTGTGTTTGATTATACTGATTGGACTTGATTAGGAAAGCCACACACCTGTCTATATAAGACCTTACAGCTCACAGTGCATGTCAGAGCAAATGAGAATCATGAGGTCAAAGGAACTGCCTGAAGAGCTCAGAGACAGAATTGTGGCAAGGCACAGATCCGGCCAAGGTTACAAAAAAATTTCTGCTGCACTTAAGGTTCCTAAGAGCACAGTGGCCTCCATAATCCTCAAATGGAAGACGTTTGGGACGACCAGAACCCTTCCTAGAGCTGGCCGTCCGGCCAAACTGAGCTATCGGGGGAGAAGAGCCTTGGTGAGAGAGGTAAAGAACGTTTACCATCCAACCTGACAGAACTGGAGAGGATCTGCAAGGAGGAATGGCAGAGGATACCCAAATCCAGATGTGAAAAACTTGTTGCATCTTTCCCAACACGACTCATGGCTGTATTAGATCAAAAGGGTGCTTCTACTAAATACTGAGCAAAGGGTCTGAATACTTATGACCATCTGATATTTCAGTTTTTCTTTTTTAATAAATTTGCAAAAATTTCTACATTTCTGTTTTTTTCTGTCAAGATGGGGTGCTGAGTGTACATTACTGAGAAATAAAATGAACTTTTTTGATTTTTGGAAAATGGCTGCAATGAAACAAAGAGTGAAAAATTTAAAGGGGTCTGAATACTTTCCGTACCCACTGTATGTAAATACTGGTTTATCCCTCTCATCAGTGGTGTACTTGTGAATATGCTGCTCCCTGCTCTGACCTTTCTCCACTACATTCTATGTCTTTTGCTGACTGGAAACCCTGGAGACTGGACAGTGAGGCTCCAGGTGATGTGTGTGTGACCAGAATTCCTCTGGACTTTGTTCTTCTTGTTGGCTGAACTCACGGGTGGGACACAGTCGTGATATGTGCCCATAACCTCCACATCTTTATTCTGTGTCGATTTGCGTTGTTGTGTCTGGGGTGTGTTCTCCAGCTTTTCTTCCCTCTGTTGCCGCGTTCTCCATTATCATTTGACTGTTCCAGTGGTGTGACCCATTTCTCACCATCAGTCTTTGTATTGGGTAGTTCTTCTCCAAACAGTTCTGAGTCCCAGTAGGCGTGTTCCTGCCCTCCGTCGGTCTGGGCTGGGATTTGGAGGTGTCACTGTCAGCAGTAGGTGTGCATTTCTTCCTTCACCGTTTCTCCTGAGACAGGAAGAGGCTGCTGATTGAAATAAAAACTTCTTGGGAAAGTTAATTTGAGTCTTTTCCCATTTTGTCCTTTCCCAGCAACTGGGGTGTGAAATGGGCAAACAGTCCTCAGGTCATGACACAATGCATGTTCTCTCCCCCGTCTGTCAGTTCTTTCCTGGAGTTTCTCAGTCAAAAGGGCAGTACTTGTGTCTCTAATGACAAAAGGATTAGTGGCTTGGAGACAACGTATGGAGGTGGCAACATCTGATCTGGCCTTTTGTGTGTCTCTTTCTTATCATTTAAAACTGCCTCTCTTATCTGTTGTTTTACCATTTACCCTGCCACTGATTTTGCTTATCTCAAATGTGCTTATTTTTCCCATTTCTCAAAAGCTTGCCAATCAATCTTTTTCTTACCTACTGTCTTTGCTTTCTCTGTCAACATAATTCTACGTCTCCCTAAACAATCTGTACTCAGTGTGCCTAGGATAAGAAAAATGCCTTCAGTTACATCATGCCAAAAAGGAACATCAACAACCACACTGTTCCCCCATTGAGTTTTTTCCCCGATTTGTTCCCCATGTTTTTCTACTGACTCAGACTCACTGAACAAATTTGCTTTTACTTGCAATGGGTTTTATCATTCACACAATCACTCTGATCTTCCCATATGGTCTGATCTTGTCAAACACACACTAACTCTGGATAAACTCTCTCAGCTGTATGGCACTTGCATGATGGTGCACTCGTTTTCGTTTACAATTGTGTGCTAGACACTGAAATGAGTTTATCACAGAGTTTTCTATATTTTCATCTCATGCACACCCAGATATTTTCCCTCCTTAGTGGAACATAATGTTCGAAACAAACACTTATCACATCATATAAACGCTTTAAAACTCTAAATGGGAAACATCTGGAATGTTTTTCTATGATGTTATTTATAGTATAACGAAACTACGGCAATTATGTTCATGCAAACACACGGCTATGGGCCAGAGTTTGACCCAGGCCGCTGCAGCAAGGATGGAATTCTTTTTTTTTTCTCTGTTATTTAAATTTATTTTTTCCCAAAATCACTCAGGATTTTGGAAAATAGGCCGTTCCTTAAATCACTCAAAATGCGACCTTTAAATGGTGTTACCTGCTAGTCTATATAAACTCCTAGGTAGGTTATCACTAGAGATGCTACCATAATGGGATTATGCACATATCACTCCTGGCCTGTTGTTTTTTCTCTGTTTCCCCCGAATAGACCCTTTATCACCACCCCCGATGATTAACTATATTTATAGTTCTATTAACCCCAACTGGGCGAACGTTTTCCGGAATAGGTGTCTGACTCGACAGAACACCTGGCTACCACGAAGGTTTTACGCCGAATTCTGATGAACATCTCCAACACATGCCCAATGTCAGGGAAAATAATTCCTTCCCAAAGAATACGGAGTCAAATAGATGTGTTGAATCATTTCTTTATGTTACGTGGCCATGGAGAGAACTCCATGGCCTGAACTCAGCATTTCTTCTTCTTAAATACAGAACAAGTACAGCAATAGTAAACTGCCAAGACAAGGGAAAACAAATGGCAGAGTTTTAGCACACACTCAAAAGCTTCTTCCTGGGCTGATAAGAATGCAATTGTATGTGGCATCAAAGTTGTGTTCCTACTTCTTGATTAGTCTATGTTAAAACTCCCACCTACATGTCAGCAGATGTTCATTGTAAGTCAGACAACCCTTTGATTAGAAATAAAAACCCTGTGACCAATGCTAATTTCTCACAAGTTAATTACAGTGAAATCCTAAAAATCAGCAACTTATAATGTATTTCTCACAGTGTGAAACAGTGAGAAACCTGTTACTGGACTTGGTTCAACAGTTCTCTTAACTAGACCAGTGTATGTCAATAGAGCCTTGTATACATCACCCTTTTTACTGTACAGTGTTCTCGGATCCCCTTACATGGGCTTGTAGTCAGTCAGCTGACTCTGAGTGTGAATCCACCTCCCCAGATCCCTCCATCTCCAATCAGCAGGCTTAGCCAACGCCACATGCGGGCAAAATTCTCCTTGGAACAACTGAGATTGAGCAGAAGAGAGAGACACAGAAACAGCAGCAGCCCGGCCTGAGTACAGTGTTGATTTACGAATATTCTCAGTTGTGGTACCACAGCAGACACACTAGATGGCACCAAAGCCCACTCATAAACAAAGTTCAATGCCTCTGGACTGTATTTCACCATTTGAAGTGGAAATTTCAGTCTGGTCACTTTCAACCCCTCGGGATGTGAGGTTAAAACAATACCAAAATGAATCATGAGATCACGTCCCATTAGGTTAATGGGACAATTCTCTGACAACAAAAATTAGTGTTTGGTTATGGCGTCATCCAGCGAACATGACAGTGGTGTAGTGTATGGTTCTGAAATAGGGATTCCTCCTGGCCCTACAGTTTTGCAAAACCGCCCACTTCTCCTTGGTGGAGCTGGTATGGCCCCGGAGTCGACTAAAAACACCACAGAGTGTCCTGCTATGTTTAAAACTAACTCGGGCAGCTTCCTGAATCCCTCATTTCCATCTATGTACATTTCAAAAGTCAAACGGTCAAGTTTATCAGTGTCTTTCTTAGTTTCAATGTATGTTATTGCCATCATTATTTTGTCATAGTCTGTTATAGTTTGAGACTCACCCATTGATGCGTGTGTGGCAGGCCGGTCCGTCCCCAGTGTCCACTCCGCCTCCACTCCCTCATTTCAGTCCGATTTCACATAACCCCTCTTTTTTTCTTTTTTGCATTCATCTTGCCAATGTCCAGTTTCCCCACAGTTCCAACAAAAAATCCGGGTCGCTGACACTTTGCTGGTCATTCTTGCAACCTCTCCCCCGGCCCCCTCTTTCCCGCAACGGGAGGACTCTTTCTTTTGTCTTGTGGTGTCGATGGAGTTAAACATAGACAACTGTGCGTCCACTAGCTTCTTCTGCTGCTCTTTCCCTCTGCTCTCTTCTCGCTCCCTAAGCTCTCCCTCCGCGTGGCCAGCGTAGTCTAATATCATTGACTGTTTTCCAAAAGACGCATCTTCATCTTACTGCTGCAGCGATTTCTGGCCTCAACCGGGTCATGAAATGCTGTATGAGCTGCAGCCCCCATCTGGCCCCCTGTCATTCCAATGTGAAGATCGAAGGCCACTGTCAGACGGGCTAGGTAAGCCTGACAGGTCTCCGTCGGCTCCTGCGCCACCGAGGTGATAATTGACAGATCCATCCGCATCGGAAAAGCGGCCTTGCAGGTGGCAATTAATCCAGTGATAGCGTCTCTGTAATCAACATTATCCGTACGGCTGTAAACCACCTCCACCAGCCGACACTGCTGGCGTGAAGTAGGGTGTGATCTTGTAATAGTCCATCTTGAGCATTTTGCTCATCATGCGCTTTAGCTCAGTCATTGTGGGCCGATACTCTCTGACAAACTGATCCATCTGTTTCTCCAAATTTTGCGTTACTGGCCCTCCTGCAGCCACTGTTGTTGCGGCTTTGGTTTCAGTCTCTTAAAACGTGCGCTCCTTGGAGCTGCTGGTTTGGATCTTGCGGTTGGTTCAAAGCAGGATTGTAGGGAGGAGGAAGCAGCGCGGAGTCCAGGTCGGGATCCAGCTGGAATGGATTTTTTGCAGTGTACACCTCAGGCAAAGAAGGATACAAGGTGTTAGATTGTGTTTGTGTGTTAGGAGGTATTTGTGATGTTGTTGGTGCTTGTGTGAATTGTGCCCAGAAATCCTTATTCATGCCCCCCTCCTTCTTATCCTGAGTGCTCTTAACCTGACCCTCTTTTTTCTGACTTTTTCTCTCCCTTGCCTCTGCTTCCTCCCTCCATTCAATGTAAGCTTTCCAGTCTGCTTTAAATGGATGTTTTTTCTTTTGATGTTTTTTGGACAAGGCTGCATGTTTCTCTGCTGCTATCCCTTCCTCTACCTCTAAACGTATCTTCAGCTGCTGCAATTGATGTAGACTAAAGCTCCCCATTGCTGGGAACCCAAATTCAACCCACTTATCAAATTGTCCCATTGAGTTTGCATGTCCTCCATTTCAGGAGTTACTTAGTGAAAATCCTATAGTGACGGTGTCTGCCCCCCGACCATCGAAATTATTTAAAAAGGTAAACAGAAGAGGAGCTGTGCATACAAACCTCATAAAAATTAAAACCACAAGAGCAATAGTGCAAACGAATAGGAGAGTTAAATGTGGACTCTTAAACATCAGATCTCTCTCTTCTAAAGCTGTACTAGTAAATGAACTAAAATCAGATTATGATATTGATTTATTTGTCTTACTGAAACCTGGCTGGGTGATGGAGAATATGTTAGCCTAAATGAATCCACCCCTCCCAGTCATATTAATACTCACATTCCTCGAGGCACAGGCCGAGGAGGTGGAGTTGCAGCTATCTTTGACTCTAACCTACTAATCAGCTCTAAACCTAAACTAAACTATAGCTCATTTGAAAGCCTTGTTCTTAGTCTTTCACACCCTAGTTGGAAATCACTGCAACCAATTCTCTTCGTTATAGTGTACCGAGCACCTGGCCCGTATTCTGAATTTTTATCTGAATTTGCAGAGTTTTTGTCAACTTTTGTCCTTAAAACGGACAAAGTTATTATTGTAGGGGATTTTAATATTCATGTGGACGTTGAGAATGACAGCTTCAGTACTGCGTTTATCTCTCTCTTAGATTCCATTGGCTTCTCTCAGAGTGTTCATGAACCGACTCACTGTTTTAACCACACCCTCGACCTTGTTTTGGTGTATGGTATTGAAATTGAACATTTAATAGTGTTCCCACAGAATCCCTCTTTGTCCGACCACTGTTTGATAACTTTTGAGTTTGTATTGCTGAACTACACGCCATTGGGCAAAAATTTCTATACAAGATGTCTGTCTGATAGTGCTGTAGCTAAATTTAAGGATGCGATTCCATCAGCTCTAAATTCATTATCAAGTCATAAAGTAACAGAGGACTCCTATGCTAGTTTCAGTCCCTCCCAAATCAATCATCTTGTTGATAGTGCTGCAGGCTCGCTGCGAATGACACTCGACTCTGTAGCCCCTCTAAAAAAGAAAATACTAAAACAAAGACAGTTAGCTCCATGGTATAATACTGAAACTCGCAAATTAAAGCAAAAATCGCGGAAACTTGAGAGGAATTGGCGTTCCACCAAAGTGGAAAATTCTCGTTTAATTTGGCAAGATAGTCTTAAAACTTATAGGAAGGCCCTCCGTAATGCCAGAGCAGCGTACTACTCGTCATTAATAGAGGAAAATAGGAACAACCTCAGGTTTCTTTTCAGCACTGTAGCCAGGCTGACAGAGAGTCACAGCTCTATTGAGCCAAGTATTCCCATAGCTCTCAGTAGTTACGACTTCATGAGCTTCTTTAATGATAAAATTCTAGCTATTGGAGACAAAATTCACCAAGACCTTCCCTCAACTGGCATCAGCTTATCTCTTAACTCAGGAACCTTAGAAACAGCTGTAGAACCAGATATATGTTTTGACTGCTTTGCTTCCCTCAATCTTTACCAACTAACTTCAATAATTTCTTCATCTAAACCATCAACCTGCCTCTTAGACCCCATCCCGACTAGGTTGCTTAAAGATGTTTTACCCTTAGTCAGCACTTCTATACTAGATATGATCAATATATCTCTATCAACAGGCTATGTACCACAGTACTTTAAAGTAGCTGTAATTAAACCTCTTCTGAAAAAGCCCAAACTTGATCCGGATGTTTTAGCCAACTATAGACCTATATCTAACCTTCCATTTCTCTCTAAGGTTCTGGAGAAAGCAGTTGCTAAACAGCTGTGTGACTTTCTACAGAGCAATAGATTATTTGAGGATTTTCATTCAGGATTTAGAGCTCATCATAGCACAGAGACAGCACTGGTGAAAATTACTAACGACCTCCTTATTGCATCAGACAAAGGACTTGTCTCTGTACTGGTTTATTAGATCTTAGTGCTGCATTTGATACCATTGACCATCAGATCCTATTGCAGAGACTGGAACATTTCATTGGCATTAAAGGAACCGCTCTAAGCTGGTTTAAGTCCTATTTATCAGATCGATTTCAGTTTGTACATGTTAAAGATGAGTCCTCCATGCACACCAAAGTTAGTCATGGAGTTCCACAAGGATCTGTCCTTGGACCAATCCTCTTCACTTTATATATGCTTCCCTTAGGCAATATTATCAGGAAATATTCCATAAACTTTCATTGTTATGCAGATGATACTCAGTTATATCTATCGATCAAGCCAGATGAAACTCATCAGTTAGCTAAACTTCAAATGTGCCTTCAGGATGTTAAAACCTGGATGACCTGTAATTTTCTAATGTTAAACTCAGATAAAACTGAAGTTGTTGTTCTGGGGCCCAGGCACCTCCATCACACATTATCTAAAGATATAGTTTCCCTTGATGGGATCGCCCTGGCCTCCAGCACCACTGTGAGGAATCTTGGAGTTATCTTTGATCAGGACATGTCGTTTAAGTCTCACATTAAGCAAATTTCAAGGACCGCCTTTTTTCACCTACGTAATATTGCGAAAATCAGGAACATCCTGTCTAAAAATGATGCAGAAAAACTAGTCCATGCATTTGTTACTTCTAGGCTGGATTACTGCAATTCTTTATTATCAGGCTGCTCGAAAAAGTCCGTTAAGACTCTTCAGCTGATCCAGAATGCTGCAGCACGTGTTCTGACAGGAACCAGGAAAAGAGATCACATTTCTCCTGTCTTAGCTTCTTTGCATTGGCTTCTAGTAAAATCTAGAGTAGAATTTAAAATCATTCTTCTTACCTTCAAAGCTCTTAATGGTCAGGCACCATCTTATCTTAAAGAACTCATAGTACCTTACTACCCCACCAGAGCACTGCGCTCCCAGAATGCAGGGTTACTTGTGGTTCCTAGAGTCTCCAAAAGTAGACTAGGAGCCAGAGCGTTCAGCTATCAAGCTCCTCTCCTGTGGAACCAGGTTCCAGTTTGGGTTCAGGAGGCAGACACCATCTCCACATTTAAGAGTAGGCTTAAGACTTTCCTCTTTGATAAAGCTTATAGGCTCAGGTTAGTCCTGAACCATCCCTTAGTTATGCCGCTATAGGCCTAGACTGCCGGGGGATTTCCTATGATGCACTGAGCTCCTCTCTCCTCTACTTTCTCTCCCTCTGTATGCAACCTCATCCCATTAATGCATGTTAACTCGACTTCTTTCATCTCTTCAGGACCTGTACACCTCCAGGACTTTGAGATGAGCGGGAAAAATTGCAGCCGATCTTCTGATTAGTGGGCAACCCGCCCTGTGCTACCTTATGGCTTAGGCTACCAAAACTACTAGTAGTAGAGAAATTCTGTCAACTTTAGGTTCTTTACTAAAAGTCAAAATCAACGTCTCTGTACAGTGTTTTTATTCATGTAAATGGAGGGGGGACTCTTCAATGATAACCACACAGCAAAGGAAGCAGTAGCCTATCTGAAGTCTGTCTTACAACTTTTTCTATCTTTAAGTTTATTTGCACATGATAGGCACTCTGTCAGCACAAGCATATGCATTTAACTTGACTTTCATTCAGCGAGCTTCTGCCCTTTAAAACAATAAGCTGTTAGTATCCTTCGATTAGCAATATTAAGCTTTAGTTATTAAAGCCTAATATTGCTGATACATTTGGAGCACTTAATGATGATCCTGACCCCCTGAAAAATTTGTTGAAATGCAATGACTTTCTTGCCCTACATCCCTAATGTGATGCTGATAAGTTAAAAACAAAATCTGTTATATTGAAGGCACTTATTTTATTGTATTAATGGTAGACTCCCAAAATGACATCACCACGTTCCAAAGAAGGGGAATAGATAAAAGACCTTGTTGTCTTTTCTCTCACTCTATTGAAACTAAAAGTCTTGTACTCTCTTGAATCCTCTCGTAATTACGCTTTCGTGAAATTCCGATCTTTTTTTCTTTTCATACTTTAAAACTTCCTTCAGACGACCTGAAAAGCTCTATGTTTTGAATCCCCATTTTCTTAGCGGGAGATTTGATTTTGACTTTTGTTTGGAGCAAATCCACCGGTTTGAACGCAACTCGAGATGCGGCTGGGGTGCCAACCCAGCCTGGCCAGACAACAACAACGAGCCTAACCGGCAGTGAGTCTTTGCTATGGGGAATTACGACAAAAGT